CCTCTTGCGGCCTTCCCTCCCCATCCCTGCCCCTGTGGGCTGCATCGAGCGAGCCCAGCACTTGGTTGGGATCCAGTCTTCCCTTAATGGAATTCCTGAAAGGGATTTATTCGTGGCACATTCCACTCATTTTAGCCAGTCTGTCATTGCAGGCCCTGGGAGGTAGCTTTGGAAATTAAGAGAAAGCAAACTTTAATTTGAGAAATGCAAACCAGGACAGATAATCCGACGTGGATCCGCCCAGAATGTTTTAACTGCTTCCTGGTTATTTAGCGAGGCCGAGGCTGGGAGGTAGGGTTTCAGAGTAAGCCCGTGCTATTCCATTCCATAAGAATCACCATGCTGAGACAAGTGCCAGGCTCAGGAGTGGTAAAGAAAACTCTCTAAAGCCCCAGATAGGATTACTTTCCTTCTCAACCTGAACTTTGTCACCAGGTAATCATGGGAGGTGTATTTAATTTCTAAGAATCATGTCACCTGTTTGTGTGAAAGCATGCCATACGCATCAGCTCACCTCCCTGGTGAGGGGACAGGATGGCTAGAGCTTCTCCAAAGGCTCAGGAGATCCTTTCTGGGTCCTTATGAATGGTGAAGGGGACTAACGGCCCCACAGATCAGTTAAAAGGGAAATCTATCAGCATTAACAGTCAAGGCAGTGCCTAATGGTTTCATCAAATGGGGCGTAACACCCCCAGGCCACAGTGGTCCGAGGTGTGCCGCCTTGGGGCCAGGGGCTTACCAGGTGTCTCGTTGGGTCTTGGCCCCAAATTGTACAGACCCGCTTTTCAATTGCCATGTTCTGTGCTCCTGGGACCTGGGCCCTGCCTCTGAACCTCATGTATCCCATGGGGAGAGAGGGCAGAATTGGCCCCTGGGCCAAGTGGCCTCACCAACTGCTTTACTTATCCAGATGGAAACCACTCGGGTCTCCTTGGGGAGCAGCGTTATCCAGTACCCCAAGTATTCTTCTTGTTTGTTGTGATGGGTCCCATCCTGACAAGAGCGCTGTGTGAACCAGCTCTGAGAGCCTGGAAGTGCTGTTTAAGTGTAAAATGTGGTCACGGCGTGTTCACCTGAGAATTTCATGATGTGGATTCTGTTCTTAATCAGGGGTCCTAAATATTCCCAACACTGTGTCTTTACAGGAACGGAAGCCACTTTCAAAGTGAGTCACACTGAGGGTGACTGAGGGCCTCTGTCCCGACACATCCCTGACACAGTGGCTAGTGTGACCGGGCCAAAGTCCACACTCTTCCAGATCATTTGTTCCGTCAGCTTGTGCTATGTGAGTGCACTCCTTGGGGGAAAGTAATTACTGCATCAGAAGCCGGTGAAATTATCCTTGGAGTGTACTCTGTTCTCCCGAGAACACTTCCTTTCACAATTATGTTCTCTACTAGGAATCTATTATGTGATCTAGTTTTTCCTCCAAAGACATCATTAATCATATGGTGAAAACGTTACTACAATTGAAAATGTAGAGATGTTTGTTAAACTCCATATTCAATGCTTGGCAATCGTCCCACTCAAGGGTTTTAAAGAACCAATGATGTCACAGATTCACCTGCCACCTTTTTTCCAAGGATTAGGACACTCTCTTTCTTTAAAACGATCGTGTAGGAGTTTATAATAAAATTCCATTCGCATCGCCAAGCTTTGCTGCAGCGTTCTGTGTAGAGCCAGGTCCCAGCACCTGGTTCTGGGAGAAGCTGTGGGAGAAAGAGCCTGCCCTGGAATATACAGAGTGGCCCAGGGTCTCTGTGATGGAAAGAGACCTGGAGCAGGAGTTAGACCGCGGGTCCAGCCTTGGCTCTGACCTTGCACCATCACTGTGGCTCTCTGGAGCTGGGCCCTCCAGGAACTCACGTCCCGGAAATGCCAGGACATCCAGGCCGTGTGATCACTACGGGGAGTTCAACACATAAAGCTGAATTCTAAACAATTAAAAACCCCCACAGGGGCGCCTGGGTGGTGCAGTCGGTTAAGTCTGACTTGGTTTCAGCTCAGGTCATGATCTCAGGGTCGTGAGATTGAGCCCCACATTGGGCTCCACACTCAGCACAGAGTCTGCTTGAGGTTCTCTCCCTCCCCCCACCGCCACTCTCTCTCTTCCTCTCTCTAAAAGAAACAAACCTTAAAAAAAAAAAAAGCAAAACTAATATGGTGAGAGAGGTAAGGGAAGGAGCCCCTGTCCCGAAGGCTGGCCACACGTGGCCTCACACAGAGGTGGTGCCAGATTCACAATGGCCACAGTGAGAAACTGGGATGCGCCGAGTGGCTGGGTGTGACTTCTCAGCTTAACCGAGTCATGGCTGGGGGCTGAGGCAGTTGCCAGCAATCGGAGGAACAAAAGCAGGAAAGTCAGGATCCCACACTGAGGGCAAAGGAGCGGGGCCCCAGCAAGGAGGGGTCTCTCCAGTGAGGGTGCGGTGAACCGGGTGGGAAAGGCGGATGCACGGGTACCGGCCCAGGGACTTCCCTGGGGCAGCCCCGATGACGGGTTCCAGATTTCATGCCTACTTTTATGATTTGCCCGGGGGGGCCTCTTAGTGGGGGAGATACAGTCCCCACGCCCCGAGCCTACTGGATGTAGCGCTCAAGAGCCTGATGGTGATGACGCAGTGAGCATGAGCTGCATCAGCAGCTACCTTCCCTCGCTCTGGAAGCTCCGGCCCTGGCTGCAGCTTGCAGCCTAACGGGGCAGCCAACCCGCCAAGCCACCGTGGGCAGCAAGCCTCTAGGGGCGGCGCTGCTTCCCTGAGGCCCTGCATCAGGCGAGGCATGGGCCCCCAGGCGGGCCGCAAAGTTAGCAACGGCCTGGCTAACGAGCTCAGGGTCATGGGCAAGTCCCTCCACCACTCAGTTTCCTTTCCTGAGAAGCATTTCCCACCCTAAATTTATGGGGAGTGGAAAGCCATCTAAATTCTGAATTGCAGGGTACCGAGAGCAAAGGAAATGATGGGGCGCCCAGCGGGGGCAGGGCTGGGGGAGCAAAGCGGAAACAGGTGCTGCTGAGGAGGGGCAGGGAAGGAAGCCAGACAGAGGTATCAGGCCCCACTCGTTCAGAAGCCAGCAACCGGGACACACCAGGCCGATCATGCCCATTTCCCCTCTGGCCCTAACCATCTGTGACTCACGGGCAGGTCCCGTGGGGCCCACTTCCTGCTCCTCCCCTCCTGAGCCCACACAGGTTACTGTAGGGCAAGTGTCTGTCTGGAGGCCACCTGGGTGGAGCTTCCAAGGGGGCTACTGGGAAAGGGCAGGGGTGGCCCCTCCCTCACTAATGAAGAGGCCGTCACCACTGGCTAACTTGGACAAATTAGCGGGACCAGCTCTAACACGTAGAGTATGGGATTCACAAGCCCCTTACCTAATAGGAAATGCTGTTCTCCACTTGCAAACCATGAACACTTGCTGTATTGAATGTCAAAACGAGATTCTGCCTCCATTTTCCAGTGTTTGCATGCCTGCTCTGCGTGGCACCTTCACTGTCCAGGACACCCATCCAAGCCTCATGACCATTTCCGTGGCCACACGTAACAGACGTGCCGGAATCGACCTCTGCCTCTCGAAGGCCTGCCACAGTTTGTCCTTCTAGACCAACCGAGCCAAAACAACAAGGTCCTCCTGGTGGCTCAGCGAGTTTTTCCCCAAGGTTTTTCTTTCACGGTGAGAAGGAAAAGGCCATAAGCCTGTGTTGAAACTTCAATGGGCTCACACAAATGGGCCCAACCCTGAGCCTGCCACGGGCTTTCTTTCTTTACAACACTGGCTGGCAAACTCTGATAATGTAGGTATCAGATGGCAGCATACAGCCGGCCACTGATAAAAGCTCAGGATGTGTTCCTACTTGTACAAACAGACATAAAGTCATCTGGTAACTAACGTGGTGAGCAGGTCCCAGGGGCCAGTCCATCAAGAGTCCAGCACCATGGTCACAAGGAAGCCCAGAGCGTCCATGCCAACAACCTCAACAGCTTGGCTTCAAGGGAGTAGGAGAACAAAATGAAGGTAATAGCGGGAAAAGACAGGATCATGAAATCTAAAAAAGTCTTGGTGGGTCTGCCTTGAAAAGGAGGAAGGTCTGACTCTGGATTTCAGTTGAGAGTCCTAAAATACAATATGCCAGTGGCACCTGGCTCACTGTCCTTGTTCCAGATTCCTCACAGATGTCCCCATAGTTGTAAAGGGCTCATGAGAAGCCACGGGCTGTTGTTCCTGGGGGACGTGGGACATGCCCTCTCCCAACTGCCCCCCACCCACCTGAAAGAGGGGTACAGGATGGGCACATAGGTCAGGCTGGAAAAAAAAAAAAAACAAAACACCAACCCAGGGAAGCATTAACTCTACACACTTTGGAAATCTCAAGCTAGCACAGGAACATCCAGGTGGCTAAAAAAAAACTCCAAATACCAGCATCGGTCACCAAATCCCGTGACCACGCAGCAAACGGCGGCAAACTCCAGAGCCTCCCAGTCCCATCCTCTCTCTCTTGTATTTTCATTTCCGTGGCTCATTTGACAACAGTCTATTTATAGCCCATCGGCACCACCCATAATGTAAATGATCGGCGGCCAGAGAGGCCGCTCTAGGTCACCGGCTACTTTGGACTTCAAACTTGGGAGAAGCACCTCCCTTCCTTTGCCCTCCGGAACAGTAGGAAATCGTGTCCTCTTGAAAGACCAACGTGCGGGGCATCCAGCGAAGAGGGCCGAGCCCACACTGGCAGCCAGCACAGGCGGATGCTGGCCGGCCTTCGTGACAGTCCCTGTCTTCCTACCAGGACTGAAGAGCCACCATCAATCTGGGGTCCTCTCATCCAGCCTGTTCGCGTTAGAGGTGAGGACCAGTCGGGCACAGAGCCAGTCGAGAAATTGGCCGCAGCGGCAGCGACGAGACTGGGCAGACTCCCGACTTCCAGCCCCCCACTGTCCCAGCCCACCGGCCGCCTCCCCGCAGAGGCGCCGCCCGCCCCCAGCACACACAGCAGCCCTCCCTACCTTTCTTCCTCCACCAGGGTCCTTCCGGGACTGAGTAGGAGAGGTCCTTGAACTCGATGTTCACGGCTGCCCTGCGCGGCAGGGAAGAAAAGCGCTGGGCCTCCGTGAGGTTGTTGTCCACCTTTTTCAGATGTCCGTTCAGCAGGTCCGTCTCGGAGGCTTCCGTGTGGCCGGAGACCACCTCATCCACCGAGACGCACACGGACTTGGGCTCTGTCATGGCTGTGGAGTAACTGCTGGTATTCTAGAAAAACGAGGAGGAAGCAGAGGAATGACTAAGAGAGGTTAGGAGCTCCGCGAAGGGAAGGGCACCAGGGACCCAGCCATGAGGCTCGTGGTCATCGACTCTCCGCCACGTGCTTACCCGGAGGGATTTGTCGTCTCTAGCCATCGCTGCTTCTTCTGTTAAAAAAAATATATATATATGCCTAAGGTAGAATATTAGACTAATCTACCGAAGTCTCACTGTGGAATCATCAAATCGACTCACAAAACTATAATAAACCCATTGCTTGTCTCGAAGGGTCAAACACCGGCCACCATAAAAAAATTAACTATTTGCAGTAAGAACGCTCATTCAAAGACCCAGTAAAGATGCATGGGGGTCCCTAGGAAATGCGTAACTGAAAGAGTTTTACTTAAAATGAGCTCTTTTCGTGCCTTCCTGTGGAAGCTCATAAACATTTCCCAAGAGCCATGACTCCACTCAAACTGCTGGGGTTTGTGGGAATCGGCCTTGTGCCTTCCTTGCAAATTTTCCAGTTCACTTCCAACTCTGCCTCTCACCGTCTCTTCCTAATAGCACTGGAAAGTTGGAAAGGTTGATTTTTTTTCTCTCTCTCTGTTATACACACAAGGAAGTGGAGACACAGGCCCTTTCTGGAGCTCGTTCTGAGCCCTACAATCAGGTGAGGGGCAGAATTGATCCCCAGACTGAGTCACTAAAAAAGGAGGTGTTCCTCCCACCTGAACACCAGAGGACCTGATATTTTGTAGCGACGTTGGCTTTTGGAAGCTTCCACTGGGAGTCAACCGAACTGTTACAGATATGCCAAGAACCAAAAGTATTTATGCAAAGTAAGGAATATCCTTATCTAATGGCTTGGCAACGCTGAGCGGATCGATGTGCTTCAGGTACCTCCAAAGCACAGAAGAACCCTGGGGTGGACAAAGATTATGCTGTGCTTTTCCTGGCTGTCTCTCGAATCTGAAGAGAACATTCCCCAGTGCCAAAAGTGTGGGCCTTTGGCACCTCTCCTCCATATGGTTGAGGACCATCTGCCTGATTGGGAGAGCCCATCGATAACCCTCTCTGACGATCCAGGCCCTTCTGCCTGCCATAGGACTGCAGACACACTGCTCTTCCCCCATTAGAGCGCCCTCGTTAGGGTCCATGACTATACCGTTGAAGACCTGGCATTATTTCTTTTATGTTTTTTTTTAAGATTTTATTCATTTACTTGACAGAGAGAGACACAGTGAGAGAGGGAACACAAGCAGGGGGAGTGGGAGAGGGAGAAGCAGACTTCCCGCCGAGCAGGGAGCCCGATGCGGGGCTCGATCCCAGGACCCTGGGATCATGACCTGAGCCAAAGGCAGACGCTTAACAACTGAGCCACCCAGGTTCCCCGACCTGGCATTATTTATAACATCATGGTATTGAAAGGCTCAAAAATCGGGGCGCCTGGGTGGCTCAGTCGGTTAAGCGGCTGCCTTCGGCTCAGGTCATAATCCTGGGGTCCTGGGATCCAGCCCCACATCCGGCTCCCTGCTTGGCGGAGAGCCTGCTTCTCCCTCTCCCTCTGCCTACTTGTGCTCTCTATCTCTCCGTCAAATAAATAAATAAATCTTAAAAAAGAAAAGAAAAGAAAAGAAAAAGCCTCAAAAATCTTGGAGGGCTGGGGCGCCTGGGTGGCTCAGCCGGACTCTTGATTTCAGCTCAGGTTCTGATCTCAGGGTCGTGAGATGGAACCCCGCATCGGGCTCCTCGCTCAGCAGGGAGTCTGCTTGAGATTCTTTCTCTCTCCCTCTGCCTCCACCCCTCCCCCCGCTCTAAAACAATAAATAAATACATCTTTTAAAAAAAATCTTGGAGGGCCTGAAGGTTCCGAATATTTAGAAGCACACGTAGGGCCGGGGGAGATGTGGGCACAAGGATTTCTGGTTCTCGTCATGTTTGAAAATGTTGCTTTGCTCTTTAAGTAAAAGACATACACACACAGCCCTCCCAGGCATCTCCTACCTCTGAGAAGCTTAACCAAATCAAAACTTAGCTCACGGACTATAACATTCTGTGGATAAAAAATTAAAGTGCAAAGTAAAACTGAGAAAATTAAGCTTGGTTTGCTGCTTGCACCGAGCATGTGAAACATTTCACACGCAAACATAAGTAGGTTCCTACATTCCCGAGGCAGAGGCAGGGAAGGCTTGTGTCTGCCCGGCCACGGACTCCTCAGGACCTCTCCGCTCCGCAGGGGGAGCTGCAGGACGCGGCCTCTGTCTGCTGTGACTTTGCCCACTGCCTTCCGTGCTGGGGCCCCTTGAAGGGATGACGGCAGGCCCCGCCCGGGCTCGGCCACACGTTCAACGCCTCTCCAGCACCTACAGCGGGCGCCGAGCGCCACCCCTCTGCCCACCCATCCTGCCCGTTGGGGGTACATGCCGTTCTTCCAACTTCACAGCCTGCTTTGACTCCATCGGTGCGCCGGGGGTTAGTGGAGAGAGCAGTGGGGAAGACAGGGAGCTCCAGGCCTGGTCCCTGAAGCCCATGCCCCCCGCCACCTCCGCGGAAAGCCTAAATGTCTGCTTCCAAACCCACATCCTGCGGGCAGACTCGGCTCCAACCGTGGGCGTTCAGCTGGGAGCAGGGAGCATCCAGCAGCTCCTCACCAGTGGTGGCCCCCAGGACCTCCTCCCTGGCATCCCAGCTGCCATGGCCCAACCAGACCGCAGCCTCTCTCCCTGGCACCCACCACAGGACTGCGGCAGATCCTCAGCCCGTATCATGATGTGGGTCTAGACTCCAAGCCTATCTCTTCTCTCGCTCACTCACTCATTCAGGAATGAGAGCCCCCAGCAAAGCCCTGGGGATCAGCAGTCAGCCAGGCAGACAAGACCTGTGGCCTCAGCAAGCTCCCCATTCAAGGTTGGGCTCCAGGCAAGAATGCGGGCAGTCACAATGCCCTGAGACCAGAGCTAGAATGAGACCAGGTGGGGTGGGAGGAGGGTGCCTGCAAGGGAACAGCCTGTGCAAAGGCTCAGCAGCGGGAGGGAGTGGAACATCGGGAGATCTGAGAGGAATTCAGAGGCTGGAGCTCTGATTTCGATTTCGGGTGGGAGGGCAGGAGGGAGGGAGAGTCAGAGGAAACTGGAGACACATGGGGTCTGCATGTGAAGCACTTGTAAATCCTGTGAAGGGCTTTGCACTTTATCTAGAAGTCTTGGGGGGCACCAAGGGATCTGAAATGGAGGTAACGGACCAGAAACTGTAATTAAAAACCATCTCCTGTGGCAACGTGCAGATGGGAGGGTGACAGTGGCCTTAACCAGCTAGTGGTGGTGGGAACGGAGGCAAGGGGACAGGGCAGTAGGGCAAAGCTGGGTAACTAAACCAACCTGGGGGAGGGGGAGGGAGGAGGCAGAATCAAGTACTCACTATTTAAGTATTAAATAATGCCTCCCGCATACTAGGTGAGTGATCATAAACAACAGTGACTGTTGACTCGGCAATGACCTGTACCCAGTAAAGTCTAGGCTGCAGAGAGGATGCCTCTTACTATCTCCGCACCAAGCGGGAGGGGGGGTGTCACCATCCCCCACTCCGTTTTGAGGTGGGCTCTAAGACACAGAGACTGCCTCCTGCCCAAGACCCGAGGTTAATGAGTAGCCAAGCCAGGGTCCAGCTCTGTGTGGCTTCCGCTCTGAGCCCTGTTGTCTCAGCCAGTGCCCTTAACAGCACTTGAACATTGCTTAGCTTTCTAGAGGCAAGTTGTAAGTGACCCTGGGTCATCCCAGCCCCTGCCCATTAGAGGAAAAGCCACAAGAAGCTGAGGAAACCAGACAATCCCGCCCCCACAAAGAAACTGACACCGAAGTGGTGCATACCATTATCCACCTTTCTTCCACAGGTGTCCAGTGACCTTGCCCAATTAATAAAATCATGAAACCTTGGATGATGGGAGGCAGCGGCTGTCATTCTGAAATAGACCAGCTCTCTGGGAACATCCTCAGATGAGAGCGGCCGGCAATGTAGGTTACAGCTAGTTTGTCCTTAGCCTCCTGAGCTCATTAAAAATGAAGCAAATACATCTGCACTCCCCATTTGTTGTATGTTTCCCTATCTTTTCCAAGCATTATCTTTGACCTCCCCATCTACACACAATTTGTCCTGCATAATAAATGATAATTAATAGTAAGGCCATTCATGGGTGTTGAATGCTGAGGAGACCCTATTTGGAATTGTTCCTGCCTGCCATTCCTGAGAATATTCTCTTGGGTGCTGATTTCAACTGAAACGCAAGCATACAGAATTGCCTGTTTAGCTGAGGAGGGTCTCTAGCAGTCCCCTCAGGCCACTGTGAGGCTGGTTCATGCTCTTCACCCAGGGACACGCAATGAGAGAAAGAAACTTCTTCCCACAGCTCATGGGGAAGGGAGGTAAAGGAAGAGAAAGGCGCAGGCAGCAGGCCCTGGTACACACTTCTCTCTCAGTTCTCTCTCCCATGTGTCGCTGCTGGACTTGGTGCCCACCTAGACCAGTGGACCCTTCAGCTGGAGGGCAGATCCCTCCCGGGTACCCTGGCCACCTAAGAGGATAACGCTAGCTAAGAATCCTCAAGGCCACTGCCCTAGGGAAAATAATCCAAACGTCATACCCTTAACTAAGCAAAAGGCAGGTATTACTTGTGTGGTCACTTAGACTGCTGACCTCATCATCACCAAACCTCACTTCAAACAGCCCCGAATACCACCATCCTGTTGGGACCTCGTGCCTGCCCCTCCCAGCCCGCTCAGGGCCGGGTGTTTCGTCCATCCTCCAAGTCAGCTTTTCCAGACTCACACCTGGCACAGTCAGTCCCAGGTGGGACCCCAGAGCAGGGGGTGAGGGAAGAGCTCAGGATCCTGGGGTTCTCTCAAGGGTTCTTTGTTTATGACTTTGGTAGAATTTTTTATTTATTTTTTTTAAAAAGATTTTTATTTATTTATTCCACAGAGAGAGACAGTGAGAGAGGGAACACAAGCAGGGGGAGTGGGAGAGGGAGAAGCAGGCTTCCTGCGGAGCAGGGAGCCCAATGTGGGGCTCGATCCCAGGACCCTGGGTTCATGACCCGAGCCTAAGGCAGACTCTTACCAACTGAGCCACTCAGGCACCCCGGGGTAGAATTTTTTAAACCAAAAAAAAAAAAAGAAGTACAAGATTTTTGAGGAGGAGAATGATTTTTCAAACAAAACAATGTTCCCTGAAAAAAATGAGCCCAGCTGTTAGTGTCTCCACGTGAGCTCAGAACACTGGAGTTCTGGGTCTGTATCAGACTATAACATAACATTAAAATATCCTGACATAAAAACATCTATACCTCAAAACATTTCGATTTCATTATTTTTCCACATGTATAAACCACTTTTGCAGCTTTGAAATGACTTCAGGAGTTACGCGGCATCTAAAAGATCGGAAACATGCCTCACCTACAGCTAACAATAATAATCTCCTGAATTTTCCATTATCGACATGATTTAGGAAACCCAAAGAGATGGACAAATGTAAAAGGAAGAATGGCCAAGCATTACCCAAACATTCATCCAGATAAAAGCAACTGTCAGGAGCAGGGGCTGCCTTCGCTGTGTTTCCATCCCCCCTCATCCATGAGAAACCAAGTACTGAAGGCAGGGCATGCCCAGAGAGGGGACCTGGTCCCTGAGTCCCCCTGCCACCGGCCCCTGCTCCACCAACGTCCCAAACATGTCTGCGGCCCCATTCTATCGGTTTACACAGAATCATTATATAATGAGCTGGCGACGCTCGGTATGTGTTCTACAGTAACCTGTTTGGAGGCATAGGATGCAGTTGTGAGAGAGAGCATGCGCAGACAGCCAGCTACGCTTTTTTTTTTCTTGGGCTCAAGGCAAGAGGTAACTGTCGGTCAAATCCTGCTGAGCCCTGCTGACTTCAAATACAGGATGCTAAAAATGAAATAAGGCGAGGGGTGGGGGTGAAACCCTGCGCGTGCTGTGCACTGTGGGCTTACAGCCTATGGGGAGTAATTAGCAGGATAGTAAATCCACAGAAAGATGATAGAGAGAGTGGTGGAAAGGGAGGGCGAGGTGGGGTGAAATACGGAATACTTTCTATTTGTACTTTAGATGACCTGAAATCTAGTCTGTAAGTACCTAACTGCAATGTCGGTGTGCTAGGCATAAAAATAAAAGGCCCTAGGATGGATGGGTCGATGGTTAGTTTGTTGTTTTGTTGTTTTTGTTTTTTCCCTAATGTGAGTTTAAGGAGCTCTTATAAAGGAGCAAGAGGAGACTTTGGACCACCCCTGGGACTAGCTCTTGATGTCACTGTGTCTAGCGCTGAATCTGCCGGCGCCTGGTGGTCCCTCTACGGAGCTGGCACCCTCAGGAACGAGAGATCCGCCTTCCTGTCCCCACCCTGGTCTCTGTCCAGGGTGCAGAAGAGGTGGCCTGCAGGTATCCAGGCTCGCCCCTGGGCTGCCTCCCCGGAATCCACCGCCCCCTCCCGAGCAGGTCCGGGAGAGGTTGTACCCGGGAAGCGCCAGGGGCAGCGCAGGCTCTGGTTCTCGGGGAGCAGCTCCCTCTTTTGTTCCCCCAGATCGTGCCCGGCGCTCCGGAGGGTGGCGCGAGAAGTGCCGGATCCCCAAGCCCGGGCCGCGCGCGCCGTTAGAGAGGAACCCCCCCCCCTCCTTCCCTAGGGCCCAGGCTGCCACCCTCCCCAGTGCGCTCAGGAACCCACACCCCAGGCCCCTACCCGGAAGGGGCCGAGGTGGGGCCATCGGTGCACTTGTGGGACTGCTGGCCGCCTCCCGCACACTCCTGGCCCCTCCGCCTGCCCCACGTCCCCTGCAGGGGCAAGGGGCATCCCGAGGCGCCATGTGGCCAGGGCGGGGGGGCAATGGGAGCCGGGCTTCTCCCCGGGGACCCAGGGGAGGCTGTCAGAGTGAGGGTGTGGGTCTTTGTGCGTTTCTGGCTCTCCTGGAAAATAGAAGCAAGCCCCGGGGGCGAAGGATGCGCTCACTCACCATGGCGGTGCCGACTGAGAAAGCTGCCATCAGACAGGCCATGCCCCGGGGGCGGCGGGCACGGGCGGCGGGCGGCGGGCACGGGCGGCGGCGGCAGCGGGCACGGGCGGCGGGCACGAGGCTGCGCTCGCTCCAGGCTGGGCTGCTGCGCCCCGC